CCGCCGGGAAGGCGCGGGGAGCCGCCAGGCGCGCCAACCGCAGGCCAGAAGCCGGGAGCTCCGGGTTCCGGGGCGCGCACACCACTTCCGGGGGACAACATGGGGGTCTCCCAGCTCACCCCCGCCTCGCGGATGGTATCTTCCTCCCAGCCACCCTTGGGCCCGGCGCGCAGGCGCGGGCAGCGGTCGCCGGGAATGCTGGGGTCGCGGTGCATCCGCGGTGGGTCCACGCTCTGCACCTGCAGACCGGGAGGGTCCCGGGGACCCGTGCCTCGGTTAGCTCGAGTTTAGAGAGGTATTGTCCACGTCCTTACCCGGTTCCTGCCAGCAATCCCACCGGGTCACCAAGTCCCGCTCCCTGCCACGCACTCACTTCCTGGGTGCGACCTGGGTCCACGGAGGGACCACGGGAAGGATGAGGATGCACTTGCTTCCTCCCTGGAAGGTTCGCACATCATTTCAGGAGACCCACCCAGGGTGTCACCTGGGACAAATGCCCCGTGATGCTGAGAAGGCCTCACTCCTGGCCCAGGGGCCATCCACGGCGGGGTCTACCGGGGGGCTCTGCCTCCCACAAACGGAACTGGCCAGAGGCCTGAGAGGCCGCGTTCCTGGCGGAGGGAGAAAGCCTCTACCCCACGCCGGGCCACGCGGATGCAGAAGTGCACAACTTTTGAACTATTGATATATAAAAAGCACAACAGCAAGGTTCCAGTTATAAAGAAGAGAGTTTTTAAAAATTGCCGAATGATGCGTGTGAACCAGAGAGGCAGAGGGAGACGGAGAAAGCACTCTCGGGGGGCGTGGGCATGCCACAATGTCACCCCACAATCCCTTATCCTGCTGCGCTTTGGGGCACTCAGGCACACGCATCCAACTTGTTTTTAAGCAGCTGGGCCAGGATTCAGATTGCTCCCTAGGCCATGTGGGACCCTGCTCACCTAACCAGGAGGTAGCAGGGCCAGCCCAAGCCAAAGGAATTAATTGGCCTTATAATGCAGCACAGAATACGGGACAGGCTTGGGGACATGCGATCAGACCACCAGCAGCACGGCCAGGGGGAGTGACACGTCCACTGAGCTGGGAAAGGCAGAGGTCCGTTACACCAGTAAGGTGTTACAGGACCTGTAAGTTCTGAAAGACGTTACACTGGACAGAATGAGGGGAGGCTCATGGAGCTGAGGACAAGGGCAGGATTGGGTAAAATTCTGTAGCAGAAGCATCTGAAGCAACTTCTTGGGAGTGGTGGCAGTCCCTTCAGCAAGATGTGTGATCAGCCTAGGGGTGACAGACCTGGAACCACCTTGAGAAAGCCATGAATATCTGCCTCACGATCAGCCGTGATTAACCATAGAGGGCAGGTCCGCCACCTGCCTCTTAGTTCTCTCCCCTTATTTTTTATTTAGTTTTGTGTAGCAACGCTTTTTTTTCCAGATAAATTTTATTTTCACATGTTACAGCCTACCTGGAACTCCACTTCCAGAGTCAAACTCAAGGGTCTGCTGGGGGCAGTTCCTGCAGGTGCTGCTACCACGCCCAGCCTATTTAAGCTGGTCCAGAGGGACTTTCCATGGGGCCTCCCGGGGCCGCAGCCTCCCTCCCACAGTGCAGCCCTACTGCTGCATGGCCTTAGCTGAGCCAGGAGACGACCTTTCAGATAAGCCCCTAGGAAGTACAGAATCACAATCGCCCACTGCACAAACCCCTCTGAAAAATGCAGCCCTAAAGCAAACTTTTGGCTCACATTCCCCTAAAGGATCTTGGGAAACTCAGAACATTTCAAAGTTGACATCTGGATTAGTATCCCAGGGCTAGCAAAACAAACCAGCCTGGTGGCGAAACCACAGAACCTTCCTGCCACAGCCCCAGAGGCCAGAGGTCTGCGATGCAGGCTCCGGGAGGGATCTGCTCTTAGTTTCTGGTGCGACCACCCATCGCTGGCATTCCTTGGTAAAGACCAGACCACTCCATACCGCGAATGAACACGGGCAGAACAAGAATATTACCCAGACACACGAAGGACTATACACCTTCCAGTGCTGGCTAACCTGAATGGCTGTTGCTCTTCCCACCATAGCTGTATCCTGGTGCCATTCATCTCTACTCCCAGCATGCAACTGCCCCTTCCTGTGGTCCTGCAGTTGAGAGGAAGCCCCACTCCGTTGACCCCTTCCCCAAATCCATGATCACTGCCCTAGTCCTATGAAAAAGTCCTTTCTAATATACCCTCGACCAGGTCCCCCCACAGTTCCCCCTTTTTTTTTAACTTATTTTTTATTCATAATAGAGCTCATGCGTGTGCATGAGAGAGAGAGAGGGAGAAAGAGGGAGAGAGGAGCACTCTCACAGGGTCTGGTCACACTGTGACCTCCTTCCTTCCATCCTCCTGCCTGTTAGATGCTGGGCCCTCAAGCCTGTGCCCTGTGTGATTCAGGCCGCTGGTCTGGATGAAAGAGGGAAATTAAGAGGCTAGGGTCAGGGACCAGCAGATGGCATAGAGGTTATACCACTGCACTCCCACGTGGCCGACCACAGTTTGAGGTTCGAGTCCTGAACCTGGTGACTTGAAACTCACTCTTGGGACATGTGCATGCATATCCAACGTCCCAGGAGGAGAATGGATTGTGGAGTGGCCATCCCCTCAGGGGGGTGATTTCTCACTTTCCCCCTCACTGTCTCTGTCTCTCTCTCTCTCTAGTGAGTGCACATGCCCTAAGGCAAAAAAAGAAAAAACTTAAAAAAAAAAGAGGCTAGGGCCAGCTGGTGGTTGTTACTGGCCAACTAAATCCAGCTGTTTCTTCTCACAGTCAGTGAAACGAGAGGCCGATGGTAGAGAAGTAGGGAATTTATTTCTGTACAGGAAGACAGGCAGCAAGCACCATCGAACTGTCTAGGAAGCTCAACACGGGACCAGCAGTTAGCATAATGGCTATGTCGCTGGACTCCCATGTAGTTGACCATGGTTCAAGGCCTGGACCCGGTGGCTTAAACTCATTTTGTTTTGCCTATGTGTCTATGTATCAGCTGGGGCTTGTTGGCTCAAACAAGTCTGACTGCTCCAGACTTGGCTCCAGGCTCTTGTGTAATGAATCTGCTCCACAGGGGCTGGGGGGGCCACTCAGGGCACGCATTTCTCATGTGAAGAAGTGCAACCCACAATGGGCCCCTGGAGGAGCCAGGTTATATGCCAAGTCCCATGAGCCACAGGTTGAAGACCACAGGGATGGTAACAGACTGACAGCACACCAGCTGTGCACAAGGCAGGCTGGTGCTGGCAGGAAGAAGTCACCTGTGTGCATAAAAGTATTAAGAGAGGGACCAGCAGTTAGTGTAATGGCTATGTTGCTGGACTCCCATGTAGTCGACCACGGTTCAAGTCCCGGACCCGGTGGCTTAAACTCACGCTGGGCGCATGTGTGTGCATGCCCAAGATCCCGAGAGGAGAATAGAGAAGGGACTACGGTGTGGCCATCCCCCCTGGGGGGTGATTTCTTGCTTTCTATCTCTCTGTCTGTCTGGCGAGTGTACGGGCCCTATAGCAAAAACCTCTCCAAAAAATAAAGTATTAAGAGAAGGGTAAGTGCATTAACAATGTCTACCATAGGTTTGTCTACTACTGTTACAGTTTTGCTAATAGGAATAGTGTGGTTGCAGTGTCGTTGTCAGCCAGCGGCATGGTGGTTAAGGCAGCTGGATTCCACATGGTCAATTGTGTGGTTTGAGTCCAGACCCAGCAGCTTGAGAAACACATTGGTCATATGTGCATGCATGCCCACAATCACAGGAAAGGGACGGAGAAGGGATTATGGCATGGTTATCCTCCATGAGGGGGATGATTTCTCACTCCTCTCCCTGCCCCCCCAAACACGCATGCCCTATAGCAAAAAAAAAAAAAAAGTTGTTTTCCTGATTATGAAGGATATTTAGCATCTCATGCTCAGAAGTCTTTTACACTTTTTTAATAAAATTTTTTAATAATTTTTTAAATAAATTTTGCTCTGGTGTGCATGTACTCACCAGAGAGGGAGAAAGAGAAATCACCCCCGAAGGAGAATGGCCACACTGCACTCTTCTCCTTCATTTTCCTCTTGGGATTTTGGACACACATGCACGTGCACCTGGTGTTTGTCTCAGGCCACCAGTTCCAGGACTTGAACTGTGTGGTTGGCCATGTGGGATCTAGCCACCTACCCTCTGTGCCACCTGCTGGCCCTTTTGCACTTGAGATTTCCCTGTTTGTGCACTTGGCCCATTTATCTATTTACACCTTGCAGCAATTTTTTAAAATAAGTATTTATTATTATTATTGTTAATATTATTTTTCACATGAATTTTGCCAGAGAAAGACAGAGAAGGAGAGTGAGAAAGCAAGCTGCCAGGTCCGGGACTCAAACCATGGTCAGCCATGTGGGAATTCCAACACCTTAACCACCATGCCACCTGCTGGCCCCAACTTTGCAGCAATTTTGAATTTAATTAAATTTATAAAACTTTACCTTCAGAGCTTCTGGATTTATTTTTTACCCTTCCCATTAGAAAGACTTTCCCTATTACATGCCAATTTTTAAAAGTTTGTCAGAGAGCACATGGATTCACTAGAGAGACAGAGACAATCTCTGAGCTCAACCCATGTTTAGAGCTCCTCTGCCTTGCGTGGGTTCCCTGAGCATCTGTGCTGAGGCTGGCCTTGACTGCTGGGGTTCCCACATTGGGGTGGGGGGCCGGTGGGATATTGCTTAAAACTGAGGACTGTAAGAGGTCCTGGGGCGCAGCGATGGTGTAGTGGTTACATCGCTGGACTCCCACACAGCTGACTGCAGTTCAGGTCCCAGACCCGGTGACTTGAAACTCATGCTGGGTGTGTGCGCGTCCAGAACAGCTGAGCACAGCCCTCAGGGGGCTGGTTCTGCCTGGGGCCCCCAGGCCCCTGTCCACCACATCCCACCCTTCTCCCCCTCAAGGAACTTCTTGGGGTTCTCCCTGCCCACCTCATACAGGAGCAGAGAAGATTCTGGCTGCACACCTAGGGGTGTTCGGAGTTCCACCTGACAAGCCCTCCTCTTCCTCCTGCCAGGCTATTTCTAGACCGAAGCCAGGACTGGGGGCGTAAGCTCCTCCAGGCCCCAGGAGGTGTAGTCCTTGGTGTCCGTCCACAGCCCAGAGCTACAGCTGCCGGGCCCCATCCTCGTCCCCAGATCCACCCACTGAAGAAATGGAAACCAGAGCGTGGAGGCTGGCCAGCAGTCACCCTCCCGTCATTGTTTATTCGACGTGAGGCAGGTTTTCAGTACAAATCACTCCTCTCCTTACGCTCCACACGGAGGACTACGGATTACGGAGGGCAGGAGGACAAGGGGGCTGGGGGTGCCGATGGAGGCCCGGCCTGAGCTCTGAGCGGCTGGCAAGCATCTGGGTGACATGCGTCACATTCTACCGCTGTTACAAAAAGAAGCCCCTG